TTTGTTATTAATCTTGGTTTCTTAGCTTTATATAATGGTTGGGAATAAGATAATAGTCTAGAAATATGTATTAATGTTTCTTATATCATTTTACAAAATATCTTTGTATATTTCCACAATGTCTCTAATTTTTACAATATTTCCCCTCGACATTTCCGACATATGTCCTATATTTTGGTAAGTGACATTTCCGACATATGTCCTATATTTTGGTAAGCGACATTTCCATCGATATCAACATTTTAAACCATGACAGAAGGGGATTCCAAATTGGTAATTGAATGGATGCAATCAGTTGTTTGGGAGCCTGGATACATAGACAACTCATAAGGGAAATATACAATGTAATAAGGGAGGTGGATTCTTGCTTTAAGTTGTTAAAAAAGATCAGCTAATGGGCTAAGATACTTTAACAAAACAAGGGGCAGTTAGGGAGAACATGTTTTGGGCAGCTTTGAAATTCATCTTGTATTGGTTGAACACCCTATACTAGGGGTTGATGTCTCTTTTTTAAAAAGATCTCATTAATGAAGTTATCATTTCCAATAAAAAAATAAAAATAATTTAGAAGATGTAAACAACTTCGTTAATTTGATCCATTACAACAAAAAAAGCAATAAAAAATAAAATAAATCCATTAGGAAAAGAAATGAGAAAATAACAAACTTGGGATGTTAGACTTAGAATAATAAGAAAAAGAACCCACTTGATTTATTAAAGAGTAGGGGTTATCATGGGCTGGACTGAGCCCAACACCAATTATAAGGGCTTTAAGATAGGTTTAATGAGTAATGACTTTGGGCCCATGAAATCAAATAATAAAAGTTTAATTATTAATTTTTTTTTAAATTTAATAACATATAAATAGAACCCATACAAAAAAAATTACACAACCCAAAGTTAAATTGGGCTTGGCTAATCTTTAGGCCTATGGCACAAAACGTAAGGCATGGACCTCATTTAATTGTTAGGCTTTGGCTTGGGTTATCAATCCTTTCGTAGATGAAGACAAGGCCTTCCTTCCCATTCTGTAGCAATGTGGGATTTGAAACAACACTAAATAGTTAGTGCAGCAATTGAGTATTTTCCCAAGTCCCACATTGCTTAGGGAATGAGAATGAAGGCTTTGCCTTCATCTATACAAGGCTTTCCTTAGGAGGACAATTCTCATATTGAATTGACTCAAAGTGTTGACATATGCGTTTCAATTCATAAATATTTACTTATATGTTAAAATAAAACTTAAAACTTTTATATTTTATATAAAATAATATACTTGTGTATATATAGCATAAAACATAATACGTTATATTATAATACATATATGTATATTATATTATATTACGGGTTGGGCTGGGTCCAGGATACCATGAAACATGTTTTTGTTCTTGTGGTGGTAGATGGTAGCATAGTTGTCAAGGTGACGCCTAGGCGACAAGGCACCCTTTTAGGCTCGCCTCACCTAATCGCCAAACAGTTTTGTACTATGTATTATAAAATACTTTTTTATTCTTTATTTTTTGACATTATAATTATAAAATATGCACTATTAAACTAAAATATTCATTTTGTGTGTTTATATACTAATTTCTTTTTATTATTTTCTTATTTGTTAGGGTTTAATCAATATAAACATTGCTAAATGTTGTATTGAACCCTCAAAGACTTTTAAAACCGAACCAATAAGTAAGGAAGAACTTAAAATTTTGTCTAATCAACACATTTTCTGATCAGCATATTTTCTTTTCTTATTTTCCTATAACAAAAATAAGGGTTCAGCCCCTATATTTTTTGAAATTTCTTTTCCTTCTTTTTCTTCTAATAAATATGTTGATTTTCTATACTTTAACATGAACTCTACTTTTCTCATGAAAATTATGAATAATTCTTAAGGAAATATGGTTATGGTACCTAGGGAACTACCCTAGGTAAGCGCCTAGGCGACTAGGCGACAAGGCGCCCCTTGTCACCTAGCCTCGCCTTGGTGCCTTGAAAACTATGGATGGTAGTTCAACTTTTTTGTTAGAGACAACCCAGGATAAGAGAGTAAAAATAAATATTGTCATGGATATTTTCAGCCCTCTTAAAGGTATTAATACCACAAGTGTTAGTTTATGTGGAATTTGAGTATTTCTTATCTTTTGTTTATATTTTCATACCACAATTGAGAGGTTAACTTTTATTTGGTATCTTTGAATTTGAGTTTTTTTTTTTTTTCATATTTTATATAGAATAGGCTAATGTAAAATTTTGTATTTTTGTACATTCCTTTAGATTTGTGCATTTCTTTCATTTTTCTTAATTTCCTGTATTTTCCTGCAAATTTTCTGCATTTCTTGCAATTTTCTGTATATCCCTCAAATTTCCTGCATTTCCTGCAAAATTCCTGCAATTTCCTGTAACTTTCTTGCATTGCTTTTTGCAATTTCCTGTATTTTTGGGTATGAGGGTTTGGTCAGCCCATATCTGCCATGTGGCAGTCATAAGAAGGACAAAAAAAAAGTCTTAAAATGGATTTTTGGTTATGCAGGTTTACCCAACCCATATATGGCACGTGGTAGTCACAAGAACAGATAAAATCTCGTCTTCTCTTAAAATAGATAAGCAATTAATATGGGTTCTTTGTTTTGTGGATTTATTGATGTACTCCAGAGGGGGTGACATCTTGTCACCTAGTTATGTTGTAATGTTTTTTCCCTTCTAGCAATAAATTTTCGTTTTTATTTAGTATGGGTCACTCACTAGTGGGTGTAGGTCTAATTGGGATGGTTGGCACTTGGCACTCAACCCACATCCAACTGAACCCATCCATTTACCTCCCCTCCCTTCCTCTCTTTCTTTTACTTTCTAAACCTGTCTTAAAGCTTCGGTCAAGGTTTTAACAGAACTTAAATATTTTTAATAGTATTCATTCCGTTGTATAACATTGACGGTGATATTCTCATTCCTTTCTTCATCCTTTGACATTCAGGTTTTCAGATGAATCAATTTTTCAGTCCATAAACCACTGAAACTCCTACCAAACGCTCCTACTATTCAATGCAGCGAGCCTGGAGAATCTCAGAGGTCAAAGTGGAGCTGCTGCTTCTGCATAGATGTTCCCTCACAAATCCCAAATCCCTAATCAATCCCCTCTACAGGATTCCATGGACTCTGAACAACAGATTTGTTAGGGAATTCTCCGTTCAGAAACCTTATTCCTGCAATGAGAAAATTTCCAGGCTAATTGCTTTATTTGAAAATAAGCCTCATTCGTTAGGCAATAATACAATTACTTTATTATCAGAGAAGCCCGGTTCATCAGGCAAAATCGGCTATAGAGAAATTCTACGGAAGAGGGTGTCAAAATTAGCAGTCAAGTTGGTAGCAGCGGATGCCGAAGAAGACCCGAAGAGCATCTCTGGGAATTTAGAGGCAAATGAAGCCGTTTCATTATTTCAGAGTTATTCTGATGGAGATGCATTTGTTGAGCTGTTGAGGCAGTTGAGTTCATTGCCTCGGTTGGCACTAGAGGTACTTTTCTTGCCAGATTTTGTTTTTATAGGCTCTGAAGGCATTCAAAAGAACTATTGTGTATAAAATATTTTGTTTTCCTTCAACTGGGTTGTTCTATGTTTTCATTTCTCATTTGCTATCTGCATATATTGGGTGAAACAAAGAAAGAACAAACTGAGTAAACTTTTATGAGTAAGATGGAACTTGTCAAACAAACAAAAAAAAGAACAATTTCTTGGTCTGTTTATCGTTTACATTTGTTTCATTTTCTTTTAATTTTCTGCAGGTATTTAATTGGAGGAGGAAACAGGTTGATAATGGCATTCCAATGGTACTGAAGGAATATGTAAAGGGTATAACCATTGCTGGTAGAGCTATGAATGTTGATCTTGCCTTGGAATTATTTAATGATGCTGCTAATAGGGGAATTAAATCAACTTGTACTTATAATGCATTGATGGGTGCTTATATGTACAACGGATTTGCTGAAAAGGCTCAGGCGGTGTTCCGAGACTTAAAGAGAGAACAAAACTGTAGCCCTAGTGTTGTAACATATAACATGCTTATTTCAATTTTTGGTAGACAGATGATGGTAGATCACATGGAGACAGCATTCAGTGAGATAAATCAGTTGGACCTCTTCCCTAATGTAAGTACATACAATCATTTAATTGCTGGATATGTTACAGCTTGGATGTGGGACAAAATGGAGAAGACTTTCAGGATTATGAAGGCGAGCAATGTCAAGCCTGATATTAACACTTACTTGCTAATGCTTCGAGGGTATGCACATTCTGGTGATTTGGAGAAGATGGAGAGTATTTATGCATTGGTGAAGGACCATGTCAATAAGAAGGAAGTGCCATTGATTAGAACAATGATAATTGCTTACTGCAAGAGTTCTGATAAGGATAGAGTTAGAAAGATTGAGGAACTAATGAAGCTTATTCAAGAAGAACAATATAGACCTTGGTTGAATGCAATGTTAATTAAGGTTTATGCGCAAGAGAACTTGGTGGAAGGGATGGACAATTACATACACCAGGCTTTCGAGCACAACACTTCAGTTACAACAGTAAAAATTATGCGTGCAATCATCGCAAATTATTTCAAATGCAATACGGCTGACAAACTTGAAAATTTTATAAGACGGGCAGAATCTGCTGGGTGGAGAATATGTCGGTCCTTGTACCATTCTAAGATGGTCATGTATTCTTCACTGAATCGTTTTGAAGAAATGGAAAATGTCTTAGAAGAGATGGGCAGGTTTAACCTTGATCCTTCGAAGAAAACATTCTTGATAATGTACAAGGGTTACATGCAAAGTGGGCACAGAACTAAAGTAGCACGTATACTAGGCATGATGTGCAAACATGGATTTGAAATTCCATTGGATCCCATTTCTTCACATTTCAAAGCAGTGGAGTAAAGTATACTCAGAAAACCCTTAACGGAATCTCTTTTTAATGAAAATTTGCATTGGTGTTGGGGTTTTGTCTTTATGTAATGTTTGGGGTAATTCTCCTCACTGATTGTAATCCTTTTTTTCTTTAATTAATTTTCTTATTATAAAAAAAAATAACAGAACATTAACAAATCACATTGCTGATGATTTAGGACATCTGAGTAGGCAATTTTGGTTTTTAAATGAAAGCCATGTAAGTCTCTGAATGATCTCATGCATTCCTTCAAATAATACTTTCAAGGTTCAATACATGTACATTTTTTGTCATTTTTTTCCTGATGCTTAGCATGGTTATGCTAAGCAATATCTTCTTTGTGAATAAAGGTAATCTTTCAAGCAGCAAATTCTCCATAATGCCAGGTGTATTAGAGAATATGGGAAATGAAAAATTATATATGTATTTTTTATCCATGACAAATAGATTGTATTCATTACAGAAAAAACTCCATACTGCAGTTAGTTTAAAAGGTTTGTTTTGAACCTCAATTCCCCAGTGGTCCTACATGAGTTTCTTGGCCCAATCGTAATATTACTTCTATTCGGCCCACTTGTATTAACCCCTTTTAATTTTTCTTTTCCACCTTTAACCCTTTAAATTTTTAAAGCTTCTATTTGTTCTCCTCTCGACTGACCATCTCCTCCTTCAACCCTAGTTTCACCTTCCAGTTTCTTCCTTTTTGCTATAACATCTTCTACCGCATCAAACAGTGTAAAGGTGGGATCACACCTTGCCACCACCATGCACAACTCAAAATTTCTCCCACATAAAACAAATCAATTGGAGAAGGGATGGATTTCACATGCTCTGACTCAATTAGGATTTGTGTGAATTGAACCTGCTCCCATAGTCTGTTATGAAAGTCAAAGTGTTTATATCTACCACAAGTATTCCCTTATAATATGTTGTGCTTTTTAATGTATTTTATTATGCTCTATGGTACTAGCAAACAAAGTGGTACCCCCCTCTTTTTCATTATTTCTGTTTTTTCTCCAAAGTTTCTAATGATAGAATTGGATATTGTTTGATGTTTGCAGATTTTTAGAGATGGATTTTGGAGATGCCAAAACTTTTAAGGTATCTAGCAGCAGATTTTTTTGATATTACATTTTCATTTTTAATTACTCAGTCCATGTTTATTGCTTGCGGATGCCTACTTTTGTTGTAAATAGAATAGGTGTGCAATCAAGCTGAGTCAAGCTAAACTTTGGCATGTCTTGGCTTGGCTCAACTAAAATACTAGTATACTACTAAGTTTGAGTTCAATCTTGAGCTCGATTCAAACTTCATTTTCCGATTTGAGCTCAGTTTGATTAAATATTCGATGAACTTGAATTTGGCTCGAAAGCTCAGAAATGAATATATCTTTATACTATATATATGATATACTTCTTTTTTGTAATATATAGTATATTCTTATATTATATATAGAATATAAATACATATTTTTCATAAGTATATAAGATATTTTTATATTCTATAATATATTATACATATATTATGTATGTATGTATGTATGTATGTATGTATGTATGTATGTATGTATGTATGTATGTATGTATGTATGTGTTAATCAAGCCAAGTTTGCGAGCTTTCAAGCCAAACTTTTTATTGGTCAAGCTCAAGCTCGGATAACTAATTGAGCTTACCCTAAGGTTCGAACTCGATTCGAGGTCGATTAGAATCAAACTCGAGTCAAGCTTAATTCGACTGTAGCCTTAAAATAGAATCTACACGTGTGCCAAAGAAGTGTTTCTTTGATGTGGTGGCCGCCCAACTTATTCCCAAGGTGGACTGCAAAATTAGTTCATATCATATTCTTATATATCTGATCTGTCTAGATTGGGATAAACTAGTTTTTTTTGGTGTGACATTTTTGGGCAACTATTTATTGCACTCAGTGTTTTAAAAGTGCAAGGCGCAAAAAAAGCACAAGGGCCAATTTGCGCCTGAGGCGCAAGGTGAGGTGCACGCCTTTTTAAGATAGGCACAAAATTTCAAAAAAAAAGGCTAAAAAATAAAAAAAAGTCAAAGAATTCAAAAAAATGCCAAAAAAATTAAAAAAAATGCAAAAAATTCAAAAATATTAAACATAATGTTAATAAAAAATATAAACTTAAATTTTAAAATAAATTATTTAAAAAGCCTATTATCTAAAATTAAAATACATAAACATAACATGTAAAGTGTATTGAAATGAAAATTTAAAAACAAAAGAAAACATATAAAGCATTTTCAAGCATGTAGGACCCACAATCTCTTTTTTCCTTATTTGCATTGCTTCAAGTAGCTAATGTGATGTAAAAGTAATCATATTGCATTCTTGATTCTACGAGTCACCTTTGTACCATGCCCCTCGAGACAAGCCCGAACAAGTCTATGTTAGGGTCTGAAATTCTTGTTTCTCACATAAAAAATAATGATTTTACAACTTTTATTGCCTTTCAAGAATACATTTTATAGCCTCAAGGGGTGCAGTCGGGGGCGGAGCCCCTAGCCCAGCCATTAGAGTAAAAAAAGCACCTATGCTGAGGCGCAAGGTACATTAGGTACACGCCTTTTGAAAGGGGTGCGCCTAGGACCTGGGCAAGGCGCATACCCCAAAATGCGCCTTGCCTGTGCGCCTAAGTGCGCCTTTTAAATCATTGATTGCACTATGCTAATTAAAGCATAGAGTTCTTTTTTCTTATTTGTTTTTAGTTTTTGAAATTTTATGGTCAAATGTTTATGGAATTGAAGGTATCTGTCTAGGAATGACCATTGTTGGTAAATTGGTTCTTGTAAGTTGACATTTTTTAGCTGTTGTTTATAACAATGCTTCTTATTTGATCCATAACAATGGCAAGATATAAAATTTCTATCTACTTGTGCTTGATGGTATGATGCTGGAAGTGCTAATAAAATTCTATTTTGGGAAAATCTCTAGCTAGGGGACTCTTTGCTCATAGACATATTTCATTCTTCTTTTTTCTCTAACAAGATTTTTTTTTTTGCTGAGCATCTTTTCTCTAACAAGATGAAACCTATTTATAAATTTTGGGTTCATTCTTCTAGTGGGGTGGCTTGGGATCTTGGTTTTAGGAGAGGCCTTAGAGGGGGAATATGCATCCTTGATGGACTTGCTATCCCTTGTTAGAATCGGTTTCTTTGGATTTGTTGTATGTAAACTGATGTAGGACCAGATCAGTTCTAGTCCTTAGAGAATGTTGAATGGTCTTCTTGGATCAGAATTTTATGGCTGTTGATGGCTGTAATGGCTTCTTGAAGGAATAAGAGAAAAATAGGGAGAGAAAGAAGAGAGAAAATACATGGAATCACTCACAGGGTGCCTAAATCACTCTAGGGCATGTGAATCACACTCACCATAGCTAGCATAAGCTGAAGAAAACTTGATATAATTCATTGCCTTTGTGTAAAATGTCCAATACATATTTATAGACTCTAAACTCATAATAATCCTAGGAGTCAAACTGTTAGACTCAATAATCCTAGTAGGACTCAAACTAAGTTGTCATATCCTATTTCAATTCAAAGAAGACTCAATAACTCTAATCCTACTTATGCAATGAATATGAAATTTTAAACATAAACAAACTATAACTAGACAAGCTAAACCTTATTATTGGACCCCATAGTAAATTGAAAAATGACAAAAATACCCATACTGTCCAAAAATACAGAAATACATAAAATATTATTTTATTATATAATAAAATATCATAAAATACTTGAACAGGAAGGTGTTGATATTATCCAAACTGAGGGAGGAAAATGTTGAGAATACACAGCTAAGAGAAGGAAGAAGTCTAGTGGTTGGTTTGTTACCTTGGAAGAGAAGTACGACAAAAGGAAGAGACAGATATTAGTTATCCTTGAAGGTGTTTGGCAACAGGGATGGACAACGGTGGCTAATGCTCTACACAGGAGATTAGTCAGTAAGGAATCAAAGGCAGTGAAGGTACAAACAAAGAGAGTAGTTGGCGGACAGAGTAAGAAAGAAGAGATGACAGAAAGAAGAAAGAGACTAGAGAGGCTGGGCTTAGAAGACACAGTGGGAACCCAAGGAAAGCCAACTGTGGCATTTACTATTCCAGAACCAAGAATTGCATTGGATGGGGAGAAAGGAAACTGGGAAAAGAAATATATCTTATCCGCGAGGGAGGAGGTGAAGGACTGGAAGGGGTTGCTAGAAGAGGTGACAACGAAGCTTGGATTGAACCAGACGGTCATCCTTATTCCTTTCAACGATAGGAAAGCAGTCCTTGATGTGGGTGAGTTGTTGATGGATTTCACTATGTTGGAAACGAGTGAAGGTCTTGTAAGAATTAAAAACTGGTGTCCTCATTCAAATGAGGTTGCTGCTGTAGATGGAAGCTTTAAACTCAAGTTGTTGGGTTTACCCTTTCATCTCTAGAAAAAATCAACCTTGGAGAATCTGGTGCAGGCGATGTGCGGTGTTCTTCTATCGTATAAGACCACAGATTTGAGGGCAGCACACTTGAGAGTTGCTGGAATGAAGCTTGAGGAAGTTCCAAGGGTAGTACAAATATGCGCAGAAGACTATTGGTATAAAGTCTGGGTGAGTTTGGAAGTTGAAACGTTGTAGTGGCTGGGGAGTTTGAAGCTTGAGGGAGATGATGACGTGGCAAGATGGGTTACAGTTGGCAGGTTTGAGCAAAGGAAGTCTGGACATGTGGTAGCCGTTGGAGTGAAGGTTTCTCTGAATGAGGAAGCTGAAAAGTCTAAGGCCAAAAGCAAAGAGGCATTTGAGGAAAAGTTTTCAATTTTTTTTGAAAACCAAAACAACTCTACCGCTGTTTTGTCCTATGCGGACTTGGTCAAAGGGGTAACCAGGTCAGACTAGGGGGTTCGGCTCAAGACTAAGTTCGAGCTACGCACCTCACTCTCTGAACCAACTGGTCCATTTCCGGGTCGGGCGGTTCTCACCGAGCTTAAGGGCCACAATCAGCTTTTGGACTTATAAGTGGTCACGTGAGTCGAATCTCTACTCAGCCGTTGATAGACAAGAATTTTGGTCTATCTTCTTCTTCACGTGGCTCGACCCTTGGGAACCAAATTTTTTCTTCAGGCAACCAGAGATTATCGAAGAGGAAGCTGGGCTGGTTACCGGTGACAAGGCAACCAGGACAGATCAGAACGAGTAAGGCCAAACCCGAGGTACTCTAAGGGGAGTAAGGAAGAATGTGAAGATGAGGACAACGGATGGGTAAGTTGCGCCAGTTCAGAGGAGATGTCAGACTCAGATGTTGAAGCTGAACATCAGTGAGAAGATCGTCAAGGAAAGTTGGAAGATGCCCTGAATACTGATATCCTTTTCTCAGAGCACGTCGCAGAG